TGCTAGTTTGGGATTGGACTTTAAAAAAAAAAACTGGATCTGGAGTCTGGATCTGTGTTTTCTCCTGCCGGCCGATCCGATCCAGATATCGGATCGGCTTAAAAAACTCTGGCAGTATGGGACTCTGTTCTGAAAATGGCTGGCAGTCAATGAGTTAAAGAGTGATGCCCTTATGGTGAATGCACATGTACCTGCGTCTGGGGGGGGAGGGGGACCTGCGGCGGCGTGGGGGGGAGGGGGAACGGCGCCGGTGGCCCGGAGACGGAGAACGTCGTCTCCTGGTGGGGTTCAAACACACAGGAAAGCAGAGTTTGGTAAATGAAAACATCCACAATACGGGAGAGGAAACGTACTGTAAATGACATTTATCTTATGGAAAGAATCACCTTCTCCCTGCAACTTCAAAAAACTATGTTCACTAAAAGGTGGGTTAAATATGCTGGTCTTGAACAGACAGAAGAACGTAACGGGTGACCATGCAATGCTGTTATCTATTTTATTTTACTTTAATGTTGTGTTGTATTTAATGTGGGGATGTTCTGATCCAGCTTTTTACCCTTCAGATCCGATCCCGGATGAGCAACTCCAGGCCTCGAAAGCCACTAACCTGCAGGTTTTAGAAGTTTCCCTAATTTTACACACCTGATTCACATAAACACAACATTAGCATTCCTGTTCAGAGCTGAAGCACCTTTAGAAGAGATCAGTTTGATGTGAATCAGGTGTGCAGAAGCTGGGAAACCTCTAAAACCTGCAGGACAGTGGCTCTCGAGGCCAAGAGTTGCCGACCCCTGTACTAAAGTTTAAAGTTATTTATCTACTTACTTAGTTGTCAGACTCATGTTGAACTGGGATTTACTCTGATAACAACTTAATGGTTAGGACACAGACCTGTGGGTTACAGATGCTAATGCTAATGCTAATGTGTGGGATGAAACTTTAAAACAAAAACTGGATCTGGAGTCTGGATCTGCATTTTTCTCATGCCGGCCCATCCGATCCAGATATCGGATCGGGACAGGCCTAATTTAAGGATTAATGTATCTCTCACACTTTACCTCAAAACTGCCTGGTGGACATTTTATTTTCATATATTTTTGCTTTTCCACGTAAGTCTATCTTCCCCAGTTTGTTCAAAGTTGTTAGATGTAATTTACTTAACTTTGTATATTACACAAAAAAATGTGAGTGAGAGCAACTACCACTGTATTAAAGTGCTCTCACAAAACGTCAAAAAAATGTCAGACAGAAAACAGGAAGCATGGCTATCAAGGCTCTCAGAGTGACTCTGGGCTAGGGTTGTCAAAAGTACCGATACTCGAAAAAGTATTGATACTAAAATGTTGTATCCGGATACGATACTCATTTTCAAAAGTATCGCAATATATGGCAATATAGACATTAATTTAAAAATAGTTAAATGAATCTTTCAAACACTTAATTAAACTCTATACATATTATGTTAAAATAGTGTATATTAAATCGGTTTGTACAATAAGTCCAAACTAGTTTAACCAAAAAATAGTTATTTCTCACAATTATGAAGGCTGGAGGGTTAGGGTTAGGGTTAGGATTAGGGTGCTTAATGTGGGCCACCATAACATCAGTAACAGTTCAATTTGAAATGAAAGACACAATTCAGTTAAATTTTGGGGTCTTTGTTTTTATCCTTGTGGTGTCGAAAATGGTATCGAGTATTTTCCTGAGTATCGGTATCGAGTTGAACATTTTAGTATGGTGAAAACCCTACTCTGGGCTGACAGAAATAATCTTGTCTATGAAGGCTCTCGGGGTGACTGTGGGCTGGGCGTCTGACCTGAGTATCGTATCTGGATACAACATTTTAGTATCTATACTTTTGACAACCCTACCTGGGGGAGTTTTCCCGGTGTCTCCTCCGGGGCGACGGCGTGCGGCTCCTCCTCCTCCGGACGTCCCCGTTCCGGGCGGCGGGGCCTGCCGCAGAACCCTTTGGCCCCTCGTCTTCTGAGGAGGAGGATCCGGAGTCTGAAACCAGAGAAATAAATAGGATAAGTGGCGGATCGGAGAGAGAGAGAAAACACAGAGGTTTGGGGTTAGCACACGATTGCTAGGGTCCATGACTAGGGATGGGGATCGTTAATATTTATTAACTTGGATGGTTTTTTGCACGTAGGGTCTCTGTATACAGTGATCCCTCGCCACTTCGCGGTTCACTTATCGCGGATTCGCTATTTCGCGGATTTTCAAAATGCATTTTTATTTTTTTTTGGTGCATTGTGCTCTGCATTCTGATTCTCTAAAAAACTCACTCCCGCTTCCTGTATCAAAACATGCTACGAATTGTGCTATCATTTTGTCGTCTTGTGCAGTTATGTGTACGTACATAAAACAGCTTAGCAAATTTACATTAAGTTGGCCAAATTATCTTGTAATTTCGAACATCTCCTAAACCCATAATGTCGACGAAACGGCCTGGACCGACACTACACGTGAGTCACTGTATTTGTATACATGTAATAGTTGCCAATTGTAAAAAAAAAAAAAAAGTTTTCTATTTCGCAGATTTCACTTATCGCGGGTCATTTTCGGAACGTAACCCCCGCGATAAACGAGGGATTACTGTACTGGGTTCTGTCACCGATGTGTTTGTCTTTGTGTATTATTTTGTATTGTTCGATAGTTTGATCTGTTTTTTATTCTGTAAAGCACTTTGATCAGCTCCAGTTGTTGTAAAGTGCTATATAAATAAACATTGATTGATTGATTGATTGATTTTGATACCTTTATCGATACTCCTTATCGAGCCGAGATCGATACCACTATCGATACTTTTCTGTTATTTGGTGGAAAGACGATGCGACAATATTTAGCAAATAAATAATTGTATTTGAAATTAAATGTAATTTTTAATAAATGTTGGCATCAGTAGTTTAATTATATATTCTAAAATAATTAGAGCAATATACAACTGTATTACTTATGTTTCTCAACAAAAACTCAATTTCCCTTTTCTTTACGTTACACTTGAACGCATCATGATAACCTAATTGTCGTTTTACTGAGCCAATCTGAACACATCATCACGTCTGAAACTTTATTTACTTTTCAAGCTAACTAGCTTGTATGCTGCGGATTACAACACGGATTTCACAATTACTATTGTAATAATAATAAAAAAAACAACCAGACTCTATTCTTCTCTCACCCCCCTCTACCTCACTAATTTACCCAATGCTTCAGCATTTTCTGGTCTGTCGGTGCAGATCAACATTTGCACATTTCAATTGTTCATTTGCACATTCGGATCTATATTTTTAAAGATTGTTCATTTGTACATTCAGATCTATATTTTTAAAGATTGTATTTTTCAGTCTTATCATTTCTGTCCTATATTTTATATTTTTATATTTTATATTTTTATTTCTACATTTTATTTCTTGCTTCTTGCTCATAGAAGTGTTGTGTTGTGCACTAAACACCAAGGCAAATTCCTTGTAAGTCTAAAAACCTACTTGGCAATAAACCTGATTCTGATTCTGATAGTGGTATCGATAAGCCCAAACATTATTGATTTTCAGGTTTTGAAAAAAGTGGAACCGGGTCCTTGATAGAACCGGGTTTTGATCCCCATCCCTATCCATGACACGAGGAGGGCGAGAGGACAGGGACAGAGACTTTGTTAGAGAGGAGGGAGGTTGGGAGGGGGGGGAGAAGAAGAATAAGAAGAATAATAACGGGGATAAAAGCTCTTATAACCTGAGGACGATTGTTGGTTCTGCCTGCGATACTGACGTCTCTGCTGCACCGAGTCAGCCGTTGCTCCTTTCTCATTTTTATCCTCCTCTGAAAGGTAAAGCATCGAGTGTCTCATCAGTGCTAGCAAGGCCGGGAAACCACGCAAATGTTACAGATCAGACAGGAAACAGACTCTTTCTAACTAGAACCCGATAAAAGTGAAGGTATTTTATTATGTAGCATGTATTAAATTTTAAAGTTATTTATCTAGTTACTTAGTTGTCAGACTCATGTTGAACAGGGATTTACTCTGATAACAACTTAATGGTTAGGACACAGACCTGTGAGTTACAGATGCTAAAGCTAATGCTAATGCTAATGTGGGATCCATCCCATACCAATATCAAAGCATTTATTAAATCTATTAATCTCTTAAAGTCTAAAGTTATTTATCTACTTACTTAGTTGTCAGACTCATGTTGAACAGGGATTTACTCTGATAACAACTTAATGGTTAGGACACAGACCTGTGGGTTACAGATGCTAATGCTAATGCTAGTGTGGGATCGGACTTAAAAAAAAAACTAAAAAAAAACAGGATCTGGAGTCTGGATCTGCATTTTCTCCTAATTTTAGGATCAATGTATCTTTCACACTTTACTTCAAAACTGCCTGGTGGACATTTTTATTTTAATATATTTGTTGCTTTTCCATGCAAGTCCATCTTCCCCAGTTTGTTCAAAGTTGTTAGATGTAATTTACTTAACTTTGTATATTACACACAAAAAATAATGGCGAGTGGAAAAAGTAAAATGGTAGATTCCAAGAAAGTAACTACCACAAAATAAAAACCTTCAAAAGTCTATCAGCCTTTTTCATTCTTTTAAAAACCCTTTCTTTTAATTTTACTTCAGGCTTAAACAAAGTTTCCCCAAGAACCTGTGGACAACAATCTCCACTGAATCTTTTCAACAGACGAAGGAAAACTTTTGGCAAATTCTCTGCATTCTTTGCAGATTTACATAAACTTATTGAGCCGTTTCCAGCCTTAATGGGAGAGGAAATATAACTCGTACCTGACTCTGATCCCTCAGAGGTTCTGGCCTTGGCGTTATCAGACGGAGAGTCACTTCTTCCACCTGGTTTCCGTTTTAAACCTGAAAAAAATGCATAAAAAGGGGGCAGAAAAAGAGTCATCATAACCTGGAATAACCTAAAAATACAAACAGGGTTGTTCTGTCTGTAAACCCCCCTCACGGGTCCTTTTAAGGACAAATAAAAATACATTTTTCAACAAACTTTTGTATGAGCAATATGTCTTACTGGCTTTTACAAGCCCACCTTGTAACATCTTATAACTGTGCTCTGTTTTTTGTTTATGTAAAATTCAATAAAAAATATCTTGAGTAAAAAAAAAAATTAAAAAATACATTTTTAAGCAACGGATAAGTGCCATTAGGTAGGGTTGTCACGATACTAAAATTTTCAACTCGATACCGATACTCAGGAAAATACTCGATACTCGATACCATTTTCAATACCACAAGGATAAAAACAAAGACCCCAAAATTTAACTGAATTTTGACAGGTTAGTGTCTTTCATTTGAAACTGACCTGTTACTGATGTTATCGTGGCTGGTGACCCGTATTAATTACCCTAATCCTAACCCTGACCCTAAACCTAACTCTAACCCTGACCCTAACCCTCCACCCTTCATAATTGTGAGAAACAATTTTTGGGTTAAACTTGTTTGGACTTATTGTACAAACCTATTTAACATACACTATTTTAACATAATATTATGGATAGAGTTTAATTAAGTGTTTGAAAGATTAATTTAACTATTTTTAAATTAATGTCTATATTGCCATGAGGCATTACTATTTTCTTGCCTGGGATTTTCCTTTTGATGACGTAATCAAAATGGCCGACTTGGATGTGGGCGGAGTCGGATATGTACTTGATTAATGGTAGCATGTTATTATTAGCCATTAGCCGCAGCTAGCAGTTCAAGGCTAACAACTTGTTAATGACCATAAACAACGTAAAAAAATAAATAAATCTGAGAGAAGGGGCGCGCGGTGGTATCGATACTTTTGAAAATGAGTATCGTATCCGGATACAACATTTTAGTATATTAGTCATACGGGACAGAGGGAAATCCCACCTGATGATCTGGGTGGGGAAACGGAGCCCCGCCCCCTTCGGCTGCGTGGAGACGGCGAGCGTTTGATCTTTGCTGCAGGGCTGATGGCAGCGTCCGGGCGCTGGGCTGGTTTTCGGGGTGGAGAGGTTGATATCCGTTTCACAGCTTTTTTAGGCGAGCGTGAGCCAGAGGAGCTGCTGCCGGAGGACGAGGCGGAGCGAGAACGCCTCCTACAGAGCGAAAACATACGTTTAAAAAACGTTCTTATATAAGCCGCATAGAGCAGAAGCTCCAGTAGAGGCTGGGGCTAAGTTAGCATCCACCAGATGAAGCTACGCTAACGAGAAAACATCAACTAAACAGTCAGACTTTATCAACAGAACACAAACCAGCGTTCTGACGACTCAGTTTGCTCCCAAAATGAATAAACAGCTGTATTATTTTGTTCCCGCGCTAATGTCAGTGATGTGGTGTATTCGCGACAGTTTATCTTTTAACAACGTTTAATAGGTAACGCAACATTTTTATCATATAGTGGAGGAGAACTTTTCCTCGACTCAGTAAACACGAAAGAAAAAGTCAGATATGTTACGGTAAATCAAACGTTAGTCAATCACAACATATAGCAGCTAGCATAAAGCTGACCAGCTTTTCTTATTAAAAAACAAAACTGCCAGTATATATTTTTTTGAACCACCTGGTGTCGTAGTTAGGAGAGTGTCGCTTAGTGCTTGCTCATGGTGGGAATTGTTGGGTTTCTGTAGTTAACTTCAGAGTAGGGTCTGACCTGCTCTGTTTGGAAAGCTGTGAGACAACTGTTGTTGTGATGTGGCGCTATTTAAATAAAATTGAATCGAATTGAATTCATTTTAATTTTGTAATGTCATTGTCTGAACGTGTGTTTGGACTGATTTTGTATTTTGTGATTTTGGGTTGTTTGGTCTTCCTGCCTCAGGACCACAGATGTAAACTAGCAACTATGCTAGAATCTGGCTCATTTACAATCTGTATGAGATTGTTCATTAATGTGCACTGTCCTGATTAAATAAATAAATAAATAAAAGAGTGGAACAGGGGGGTTTGAGGTGTGACCTGCGGACGGGGGAGCGCCTGGTTCTGTGTCTGGAGGCGACGGGGCCTCGTCGGGGGGGACTCCTCCTGCGGGGGGACATTCTTCTCCTGGGACTCTGCCTTCTGCGAGGGGAGTAGGACCTGGAGAGAAGCAGAATCAGAACATTTTAGAATGAAAACTATTTGCTTTTTAAACAAAGAATCAGCCTAACAATAGGGGTGTCCCGATCCAGCTTTTTGCCTTTCCAATCCGATACCGATCCCGGCCTATCAGAGCATGTATTGTAGTATTACTTAATCTGTATTTTTTAGCATTTTGTTCTCTGTGTGCCACTCTTTTGCCCTGTAAGCGGCTGGTAACTTTAATTTCCTGAGGAAGTCTTCCCAAGGCATCAATAAAGTACAAGTCCAAGTCTAAAGTTATTTATCTGCTTACTTAGTTGTCAGACTCATGTTGAACAGGGATTTACTCTGATAACAACTTAATGGTTAGGACACAGACCTGTGGGTTACAGATGCTAATGCTCATGTGGGATCAGAGTTTAAATAAAAAACTGGATCTGGAGTCTGGATCTGCATTTTCTCCTGCCGGCCTAATATAAGGATTAATGTATCTCTCACACTTTACTTCAAAACTGACTGGTGGACATTTTATTTTGATATAATTTTTGCTTTTATTTGTAAGTCCATCTTCCCCAGTTTGTTCAAAGTTGATAGATGTAATTTACTTAACTTTGTGTATTACACACAAGAAATAATGGTGAGTGGTAACAGTGACATTGTAGATTCCAAGAAAGTTACTACTACAAAATTAAAAATGTTAGGACACAGACCTGTGGGTTAGGAGATGCTAATGCTAATGCTAATGCTTGTGTGGGATGGGACTTAAAATAAAAACTGGATCTGGAGTCTGGATCTGTGTTTTCTCCTGCCGGCTGATCCGATCCAGATATCGGATCAGGACCAGCCTAGTTTAAGGATTAATGTATCTCCCACACTTTACTTCAAAACTGCCAGCTGGACATTTTATTTTAATATTTTTTGCTTTTCCATGCAAGTCCATCTTCACCAGTTTGTTCAAAGCTGTTAGATGTAATTTACTTAACTTTGTGTATTACACACAAGAAATAATGGTGAGTGGTAACAGTGACATTGTAGATTCCAAGAAAGTAACTACCACAAAATTAAAAATGTTAGGACACAGACCTGTGGGTTAGGAGATGCTAATGCTAATGCTTGTGTGGGATCGGACTTAAAATAAAAACTGGATCTGGAGTCTGGATCTCTGTTTTTCCCCTGCCAGCTGATGCACATCATTTTGCAAATATTAGAGGCCGGTCCGATCCAGATATCGGATCGGGACCAGCCTATGTGACTGTTTTTCCGACCTGGAACGGGAACGCCGTCTGCGGGAGCGGGAATGCGAGCGGGAGCGGTGGTGCGCTCGGTCCTTCCTCGCGTCCTTTTCCCGTTCGCGAGACCTCGGCCGTTCCTCTTTTTTGTGAACTTTCTCTGGAGAGGCTTCCTTGACCTCGACCACAGACTCTTCTTTCACCGCCTCCTCAGCCGTCTCCCTGCAGAACCAAACAGGAGAAAGTTCACATTTTCAATTTAAAGGAGACATATTATACCCTATTTCAACAATTAAACTAGTTCCCTGGTGTCCTAATGTAATGTCTGGGACAAGCTTTGGTCAAAATCCCATAAGGATGAAGCCAATAGCAGTTCAGTCCCCCTGCCTAACCCTAACCCTAACCCTAACCCTAACCCAAAACAGCCCCGTTCAGAGCGCTCGCTTTGGAGTGCCTGTCTCTTTAAATGCAAATGAGACACAGCCAATCCACCCACTTCTTCAGGGAGGTGTGACGCTAGAGTTACCATGCTAAGTCTGACGTTCACGCTAACGCTACCATGCTAATGCTACCACGCTAACGCTACCATGCTAACGCTACCATGCTAACTCACGCTACCAGGACGTCTCCACAGATAGGGGAGTAAGCTGAGGGGGGGGGCAACATGCAGGTGAAAGGCTGGAATATTATAATGAGCTAGATAATATATAATAATATTAATATTATAATAATAATAATATTATAATGAGCTAGAGCTAATGACGTCAGAAACTACCCACTCCTGAAACCTCCTGATTTATCTCCTGGATTCAGACTGAGGCGGCCCACAAAAACATGACCCAGTCATTTTTTTCACACTTTGCCTGCTGATAGGCCCTCCACAGTCCCAAATGTACAAAATCAGATGAATAATCACTTGGTTTTGCATAATATGTCTCCTTTAAATGTAGATTTGAAGCCCCAGACTAACCCGATGGCGGCGGGTTCCTGGACCAGGGTCTCCGGGTTGGGTTCGGGCTCTGGGATCTGCTCTGGGGGTTTTGTGGGTAGCTGCATGAGGGGGGGGGGGCGGGGAGCCCCCGCCCGCGGGGCTGGGTTTGCGTCTCGGGGACGGCGAGGGGCTGCGTTTCCGCTCCCGCTTCGCCGGCGACCGTCGCCGTGGCGATGGCGACCGTCGCCGTGGCGTGGGGGACCTCCTCCGGGGGGACGGCGACCTCGTCTTCCGCCTGAGCCCAAAAACAAAAAACACCAGAAAATAGTCAAAGTCTTTCCATGACTAAACAAATTATTATGAGCAATAAGCTTATTGTAAAAGACCACTTCAAGTTTCTACAAAAATAAACGTAAAGTTAGTTTAGCAATTAGTTTTTCCCTTTTAATTTCCCAAACTCTGGATAACGTGTGACATCCTGATAAAAGTAACAACTTGAGTAGTTTTTTCTGAGGTGCAACGACCTATGAAAGATACGTTTAAAGACCATATTTCACCTTCTTGGGCTCTTTGACTGAGCCCTTTCTCTGGTTTCCTTCTTGTCTTCATCCACCTTCCGTAATGAAGCGAGCTTCTCTTGTTCAATCTGCAAAACCAAACAAGCAGCGATTTATTCTCAAGTCATTTCATGTTCAGGAAGAATCCTTTTTATAGATCAAAGTTAAGGTTGTAATTATTTATTTATTTACGTTGTTTATTATCATTAACGTGACGTTAGCCTTGAATTGCTAGCTGCGGCTAATGGCTAATAACAACACGCCAACATTAATCAAGTCTGCAGGAAGCCAAGGATGGATATCCAACTCCCCCACATCCAAGTCGGCCATTTTGATTAGGACACCAATAGGAAGATCCCAGGCAAGAAAATCCTAATTGCTTCATGGCAATATAGACGTTAATTTAAAAATAGTGAAATGAATCTACCAAACACTGAATTAAATTTTGTCCATAATATTGTGTAAAATAGTGGATGTTAAATAGGTTTGTACAATAAGTCCAAACCAGTTTAACCAAAAAATATTTATTTCTCACAATTATTAAAGATAGAGGGTCAGGGTCATTAATGTGACATCAGTAACAGGTCAGTTTGAAACCAAAGACACTAACCTGTCCAAATTCAGTTAAATTTGGGGGTCTTTGTTTTTATCCTTGTGGTATCGAAAATGGTACCGAGTATCGATTATTTCCTGAGTATTGGTATCAAGTTGAACATTTTTGTATGGTGACAACCCTAATCCAGGTACTATTCTTATGTATTTTTGATTAATTTAAAAATAGTGAAATGAATCTTGCAAACACTGAATTAAACTCTATCCATAATATTATGTTAAAATAGTGGATGTTAAATAGGTTTGTACAATAAGTCCAAACAAGTTTAACCAGAAAATATTTATTTCTCACTATTATGAAGGGTGGAGGCTTAGGGTTATTAATGGGCCACCATAACATCAGTAACAGGTCAGTTTGCAACGAAAGACACTAACCTGTCAAAATGATGTTAAATTTTGGGATCTTTGTTTTTATCCTTAGGGTTAGGGTATCGAAAATGGTATCGAGTAACGAATATTTTCCTGAGTATCGGTATCGAGATGAACATTTTAGTATCCTGACAACCCTAATCCAGGTCCTATTCTCATGTATTTTCTGACTCGCTGGTACCTGTCTCTGTCTGATTTCCTCCTTCTTCTGCTCCAGGAAAGCGGAGGGGATGCCGGCGATGTTCTCCTGGGCGCTCAGCAGCAGCGGCCACAGGTCCCGCATGAACTCCCGCGCGTTCTTCCCGTTCAGGAACCCCGTCAGGTTGATCTGCATCATCTTGCTATCTGGGTGCTGCAACACACACACGAAGGGGAAAGAGGAGAGAGAAAAAAAACGGGCCAATTTAAATAACCGAATTAAAGAAAATTAGATGGAGGTAGGGTCCCACAAATGGGACGTCCTACCCTTTTATCCCTCACTAGACTAAAATTACCATATAAAAAAAGGGTATAACACTAAAGGTATCAACTATTCCAGACTCAGTAGCCTACAAATTTAAGAAATAATTTACTTTAAACTGTTGTGTACTCACAAACTCGTGAAAATGAGAATGTGAGCTAGCTGAGAGGAGACATGGCTAATAAATCAAACGGCATGCAGTAATGCTGTAGAGTATCCTTAGATAAACAATGTTCCATAGAAACTCCCACAACACAAATTCTTTGTGTCATAATTTGACTTCCTTAAGGCTAATCCCACTACTTTTCACTGCCGTTTCTGCTGCCCACCCCATTCTCCAGCCTCCCCACAGTCTACACTTATGGGGTTAAACAAATAACCACAATACAGAGTGCATCGAAACCCAACACTGCAAGTACAGTTCCGTTGTCTTCAGTGAGTCCCGTGGGATCAGTGGGCACGGAGCTCCCTTGGCTTGCTTCCGCCTCCCTACTGCTTGAGACTCAACCACCTTGAGCTTAATGTTATATCATTTATCTAAATTGCAAGAGACGAACAAGCAATAATGAGTACACAGGCACACAACAACTTTTATTTTTTATTTCAACAACTGATAAAAGTTGAGACAAACTCTACCCTCTTGTCCAAATTTACCCTCTACACTTAGCTTTAGCAGGCCTCCCCCCCAGAAAAGCAAAAGGCAGAACCAATAGATAAAAAAAACAATATTTATATTAACTCATGTGACAATACAAAGGACTTTAGCAGATTCATTAACATTAAGCATAGACCCAATCCCTCAATTCAGATAAACTTCTGTAATTAATCTAGTTTAAATAAACTGGAGTTATCCCTCCAAATTAATGGTTTAACTTAGAGAAAATGTCTGTGCAATGGTAATTACCCATTATCCAGACATCCCAGGTGGTTTGATGTATCAGTGGGGAGGAGATTGTGTTTTTAGGAAGGAAAGCTATTGGGCAGGCTTATTTCTATGGAATAACGGGGCTTTTCCTTTACTACCTACTCAGCCATCGCTGCCTTTTTAAAACAGGCGAGTTCTCATGAAGGAGTCAGTGTAACGACTCATCCGGTCATGTGACCCCACGGCCAATCAGAAGCCTGTCGTCCGACTGGGCGCTAAAGCTAGCTGATGCTAAAGCTAACGCCGAATAGAAATGGGGAAAAAAAAGCAGAGCTGAGTAGGTACTAGAGGACAGCCCCATCGGACTCCCTACGTTGGGAAGAACAAGCAAACAAATCTTGAAAAATGAAAAGCTCTTCTGTGGGTTTGGCAGTTTTTGTTGAGGTGTAACGCTTAACTGACGAATACCGACTTAAATTTAGAAATTTAACTCATACTAAGCTGAAAAGTATTGTTTCTTGTGCTTTAAAATCGTGCTTCTGCTGACCTCCAGTGGTTGAAGTTATCAACTTGTAAATAAAATAGTGACTCGGGATGAGACGCTAAACCGAGTTCAAGAGTATTTTTAAGAAAAACTAGAAGATAATTAGCCGTTTCATCTGTTTAAGGACACAAAACAATGGTCCATCAATAACTGAATGAACTACTTGTCTTTTTTTAAATGAATGTGACTTAAACAAGCTTATTTTGTAATAATAAAAAAAAAAAACATGTCCACGTCTATGTGTAACACTGTTAATTTAAAAGTTTCTACCTGGAACCCGGAAAGTTCTTTATGGTCAAAGTCACAAGTTTTGCATTTTCTTGCCTCTAAACTTTGTCTAATTTGCCAACCATTACCTCATTTAATTGGCTAAACACAGAGTGGCATTTTCTGAATTTCTTAAAACGTGTTTTAACACATATTTTATAATTATATGGAGACTGAAGGGTGTATAAACAGTCTGAAACTTACAATCAGGGGCGGTCAGAGAGACAATACTTTTCAGTTTAACATTTAAACGGAAAATAAAGTCTGACCAGGTTAATTAAGCTGCGGCAAATTGTCAAACCTCTCCCGTTTGTGGCCTGTAACTCCAGTTACACTCAAAGGGATCTTAGCAGTCCAATTATATTTACAAATATGATTATGGCATTGTTCTGTTGTGTCTTTCACTAACATGACATAGGCAATCCCTGTATATAACTCACCTCAAACCACACACTGCATCATGAAGGGAGAGTTGGGCTCTGTGACTTTGGGCTCAGGAGAGAGCTAATTAGATGTTGGTGCTATACTTCTGATGCAAGGTATAACATCCATATTGGTTCAGGCCTTTTAAATCATAAATCACATCATCATTAGAAGACTGCTGAATAAAAGGCACTTTGTCACATAACAGCAAAACATCAATGTCATCATAAATCAGCTTGATACCAGTTTTTACTTTACCCATGTGTAATCATTTGCTTATATCCCTTCTTACTGGCTAAATATTTCCCTCCAATTCTTAACAGTTCAGACACAGCAAAAAGTAAAGTGAAAATAAAAGAAAGAGAGAAGTTAAAAACATTACCTTCTCCTCTAGCTGGTTGAATATGAACTCTATGACCACATCATCTTCAAACCCCAGAATCTCTGTCACTCGCTGCGTAATCCAAGGTTTGATGACTTCTAGGTTCACTTTGGTCATGTCCACCTGAGGGCAGAACCAGGTCAGTTATCCTCGTTATCTAAGCTGAGGTTTGGCATTTAACATTTCCAAGGAATCAAATCAGCTGCCAACTTCCATCATCATCACATGCATTTAGGTCCTGTATGAAAAATAAAACTCCTCAAATGTGGATACAGCAGAACCTCGATTACGAAGCCTAAACAGACAAATTTTCCAACATACAAAGGGGAATTTGATCAAGTATTTGACTCGACACCCAAAGTAAAGTCCCAAAATACGACGTATGATGTTTAAGTCATAGAAAAATATATAAAATATCAAAAACAACTAAGCTAAGTTGGTTTAAAGTTCCTGTGGTAAAGTCAGAGTGAGTTAGGGCTGGTCCTGTATCTCAGTCTCCACCTCTACCTCCGTTCTTCAGTCTCTGAGCTAAAGGGCAAATAAAAACCCTTTTTATTGATTATTTCTTTATCATTTATTTCTTTTTCCATCTCTCTTCTAGAAGTCATTTGTTTTCTTGCTCTGTGTAATTATCTGCAGTATTTATTAAGGAGTTATCGTAGGTTTTTGGAACAAATTGTAGGAATTACAGTGTATTCTGATGGAAGATTTGAACCAACATCCCAATATTTAACATAGAAGTGTGTCCTGGAACCAGTTAGACTCCTCTGTAGAGCTTCTGCTGTATTATTATTTTAAAGAGGCTGTAGATTTATCAACACCTGGTTTGATACTTGTGGAAGTTTTTTCTTTCCATTGCTGATGGGTAGAGTAAAAAAGTCATTTTTAAGATCAAATTTGATCTGTCTAAGTATTGTAGTTTTCATACAAGACTAAGACTGTTGAGGCAGGACTATGCCAATTACTTTTATAAAAATCGTCCAGCAAACAATATGCCCAAAGGTTTGGAGTTTAGATCACAAACGAGAAATTAATATAAAATCTGGTCATTGTAACAAATCACGCACCTTCTTGTCCAAACATTCTGCAAATTTCAGCTGTTTCAGCAACTTCTTCTGCTTGTTGCTGAAGCGGTTGTCCTGCTCCGCACTTGTACCCTGAGCAGCAACACAAACACATGGGTTATTTATAGTTTACAGGAGATCACAAAGTTTATTTCCAATAAACGTGAGGTCCATTGCTCCGCGAACAATAATGGAAACAAATAAAAACGGTGGTATTAGCAAAAGGGAATCTCGTTATAAGATAAATTAATCGTTGGTTTAGGACATCGGAGTGTGGCATTACTGTAAAATTGGGAATCTGGGTCACATCTGACATCGGTATGAAGAAGCTAGCCCCATTCAAGCTAACAGCCCGCTAAACCTCCAGGGGAGCCGGGGGGCGACTATTAGCGACGCCCTGGATTAATTTTACCAAACAACAACAGTGGCAAACGATGTTTAAATGGAGGAATAATGTTTATATTCAACACCCGTGTATGTCAAATGCCATCCAGCTAAAGCTGGCGCTGAAATGGTCGTGACGAACTCGCTGGGAGACGGGCAACCGGCCGGGCGCCATCTTTACCCAAGGCCAACAAGTTTGCCACGGCTAGCTAGTTAGCATGCTAGCTAGCTAGCATGCTAGCTGCGCCTGCTCGTCTATTTCCTGATAATGCTAATTAAAATTAAACTACGACGTAGTGTTATAAGTGCACCAGGTATAGATGTGACAAGTATAGGTTAATTAAAGACATAGAGCCGAAAAAAACTCTGATTTAAAGAGGAATAACAAGAAGATCGTAGCATGTTATCCTTCAGTTGATAGACGAAGCCCCTGAGAAAACCGTTTCTAAATGCATGGCCTTCCAGCAAAACTCAACACGGGGAGAAAACTACCGCGGTACCGGCGTGGAAAAACTGCAACAGGGCGCTATAAGATAATAAATCAGTTTAAGGTTCTTACGCGGAAGAATCCCGCGTCCATTTTCGGTAAAAACGAATCGTCTCGTGCGCAGTGGAGAAAGACGTCTGTTGCTCGGGTGAAATTCTGAGCGGCGAACCGGAAGTGGGGTGCGCCCCTACGGGAAGAGAGGAGGATCACACCGCCCGGGGCAAGAACGGAAACATTTATCCTGCCCGTCCTCAGACAAGCTCTAAATCAGTGTTTTTCAACCTTTTTTGAGCCAAGGTACATTTTTTCATTGAAAAAATCACGAGGCACACCACCAACCAAAAATGTTAAACAAATCTGTAGCCGCCTATAGTAACACTATAGTTATTCTTATTTTATTCTTATCTTATCTTAAGTGTCTTGAATAGGATTAACAGTCACTTGTACAGCACAGACACTCCAAAATGGCATATTATTTGCAGATAATTAATTCCTTATCAAAAAGTCTTTTTAGACCAATGAGGTGAAATAGGATATTTTTCTACGGCACACCTGACCATCACTCAGTGGCACAGTGGTTGAAAAACACTGCTCTAAATGTCCGGGCGTCCAAGGAGAAGGGAACATCTTTCAACAAGCTCGTCGTTGAGCTTTATTGTGGCTTTATATGCTTTATAGAGCTTATAAAGCTTTATAGGTTGCAGGTCTGTGGATATTGTTTCATTAAATGTCAAAGGAGCATCCTGAATGTCACGTAAAGCTTTAAAATGATTGGTTTGTTTCATTATTTTATTGTTTGATCATTTAAAAATGCATTTCTTGTAAAAGCTGGAGAATATTCTCAACTATTTATGTTCATCTAGCATCAATAAGCTAAAAAAAGATGAGAAAGGGAACCGAAAAAGGCTTAATTAGCTGTTGCACCTACTTTATATGTTACCAGTGGCCTTGTTTTGATGTCAGATGGACACAAAATGAGGCACAGTGGAACTCAACTAGCTTCTGTCCAAAGCTTCATTGATCATTCCATGCGTTGTCTTTATTACTTCTTCCTGGTTGGCCCATCAGAGGGCCACACAGAGAAAGACTTCTATGCACAAAATCCCTCCAGTAGGTCATTTGGAATAATCAATTAACCAAACCCCTCTTTCCCTATAAGTCTTTGGACAGTGAGGGGACAGGAGACCCCATACATGCACAGGGAGAACATGCAAGCTCCACACAGAAAGGCCGGGATTTGTACCGGCAACCCTCTTGCCTCTGTGCAGCCAGTGGAGATGGTTTGAATGCTATGACACAAACAATTCAACAATGGAGGGTGTGAAGCTGCTGGAATCTGGAATGTGCTGGAATCCCATTAAAAGTAAGCAAATGTGCTGAAAAAAGCAGTTTGGTTTCATAACATTTTTACTTTTCAGTAGTGATTTAATATACACTTCACTTGTAATATACATCATCTTCAAAAGTTAATATATTTATTTTACTATTGGCATACTCATTCATAACCAAAGTTACACTGCTGGCAAAGTATAATAAAGGCTTCCCATTAACTGTCATCGCAGGGGTACAGGGGATGCAAAAAAACGTGTCACTGATCGATAGTATGAAGTAATAATACTTAATAAAAGAGCCAAAGTACAGCACGTGTCGTTGTGGTTTTGAATTAAGTGAGACAGCCTTTTCGGATTATCATGTTGTACGAAAGCTTTGTGACTAAGAAAGCAACTGGTCCGGTATTTTAACAAACTGTGGGTCTGTGCAGGCAGTTGAGTGGCATTTGGAAATGTCTTCGTTTTGAGAAATACATTTTTCTGTGTTCTGTCTGAGGCAACATTCTCATGTGTAAAGTGATGCTCATAACAATTACAAACAACAATGATGAAGAGAAGATCTGACAGTAAGTGTGTGGTTCCCTAATAGGACTGAGATGCTAAAGTGTGCAGACGTGTGTGTGTGACGGTGTGAACTCTCCACTGTATATGGACAGGCTCTGACTGAGAATTCCCATTTTTACGATCCACTTTTGGCATAGAAAAACACAACGAACGGGTTACAGTCTGAGGTGGGAGGAGTCTGTGGCTGTACGCAGGCGGAGGGAAAAGCCGGAGGTCGGTCGCTGTGATAAAAAACTTCTGCTAGCTGGCGTCAAAACCCTCGTTAGTCCGCTTGTCTCGAACGGAGCTCAGCATGTCAGAAACCATCTCCTCCAAACCGAAGGCCGGCTCCCAGCCCCAATCCCTCCGGGCGTTGGAGTCATCGAACCTCACCGGCCAACTGTCAGCTGCAAACAAAACACCAAAACACAGCACGAGCCTGTTAGAACCGGGCTATTTCTTTTGTTTTTTGTTTAGTTTTTTGTATATGTAGTAGGTGTGACTACTTCAACATTTATTCTTGTATGTATTTATTAGAAGTTACACCTGCACAAGTATATGTTTATCAATCAATCAATCAATCAATCAATCAATTTTATTTGTATAGCCCTTTACAATACCCAAATGGTACTCAAAGTGCTTTACAACAAAGCCATAAAACAATACAAAAAGACATACAAAACATACAGAAACAACTAAAAATGCTGTAGTGGTGCAGCGCTGCAGGGCATTAAAAGCCTTCCAGAAGTGCGTAGAAAGGAGCAGACAGAAAGAGGAAACCTAAGAGACCCTAGTCGGAATTAAATGCTAATTTAAAAAAGTGGGTCTTAAGCTTTTTTTTAAAAAGGCTGAGGTCAGTAGTGGTATCTTATTATTATTTAGTATCCCAAAAAAAAAAAAAGTGAACTGTATTCCTTATTGGTATTATCTTATCATTTGTTTCAACAAAAATAATAAAATAAAAAAAAAGAACTGAGCTATAAGGGGCCTAGAGAGTTTAACACAAAAGTATAATTCTAAAGGGAATAATATTAATCTAAAAAGGAATAAGACAATCAGTCATTTACATGGATTAAGTTGTGGCATGCTATGCTAACGTGAGTAATTATTGCCCAATTCTAACAGTTTATTCTAAGGCTTCCAACTAAAGAATCGGGCTGACAATCTCTGTACTCAAATATCCTGTGTCTCCAGTCTCTTTTCCCCCTTTTCCCTCTTTTCCCTATTTTTCCCTCTTTTCTCTCTTTTTCCCTCTTTTTCCCTCTTTTTCCTATTTTCCCTCTTTTCCCTCTTTTCCCTCTTTTTCCCTCTTTTTCCCACTTTTTCCCTCTTTTTCCCTCTTTTTCCCTCTTTTCCCTCTTTTCCCTCTTTTCCCTCTTTTTCCCTCTTTTCCCTATTTTCCCTCTTTTCCCTATTTTCCCTCTTTTTCCCCCTTTTCCCTCTTTTTCCTTCTTTTTCCCTCTTTTCCCTCTTTTTCCCTCTTTAAAGTAATTATTGCCC